GAGCGAGAGTTCTTTCAGTAATTTATTTTGAAGAAAAATAGAATCGACTGCTAGCTAATGAATCCAGGCACCTGCAATAGTGTGAAAATAGGCAAAAAGAGAAAAACTGATGGTTGATACTAACTAGATTTGATTCAATACGAGTACAGAAAAGTAACATAACAGAAAATTAGGCAATTAGGTACACGTCTTGTATGTATATGATTGATCATATGTTCTACTGAACACTCTTATTGGTCGATAAAACTTGTACTCATCGAGTACAATTTCATTCAAACACTTAATTTATATTTTATTTCATTAATAGATTTGCCATAGTTCTGATGAGTAAATAAACTGTCGTTGATAGTTCTTCTTCTCCAATCTGTTTCTAGAGTTAATGTTTTTGGAGTTCTCAAAGTAAAATTCATGATTATTACTGATCGAGTGTTGAACTAAGGCTGGAGTAGGTTTTCTTTTTCTTATATCCTTTTTGTGTTCTTTTATACGAGTCGTTTTTTCTCGATCTGTTACTCCTGTGTATACTTTGTACAAATATGATCGATCATATGCATAAAAGAAGTGTACCTAATTGCCTAATTTTCTGTTCTTTTGCTTTTTTGTACTCTTATTGAATCAAGTCCGGCTTCATTCGTCTATTCTGATGATGACGAGTGAACATCGTCGAAATTTCATAATAAATCAAAATAATGGCACTGTGATTTGTATTAATCATGTTTGTAGCAGTTTTGTATTTCTTATTACGTTTTTTCAATATTACTGCTTTACCAAAATATTTTATTGAAAGGAACTATGCTCGAATGCGCAAGCTTAAGACTTGATTTTTTGTTGTTTTCAAAACTGTTTTTCGGTCAAAGAAGTAGAATAGTTGAGCATTATAAAAAGACAACTTGGCTAGATCAATGTGTTTTATGGTGATAGTCAAAGTGTTTGTGTATGTGGAGAGCCATAACGAGTTCTCAAGCATACAGAAGTACTTCGCGAAAGACGTGCTCGTGTTCATCAGCCACATTTGACCAGGTCATTTGACGGCCAAACTTGTAGGCTTTACGACGAGCTCCATCGCGTATTTCTTGATCTTGAGTCAATCTAACGATGGTTGACGAAAGAACGTTGTGATCTCCGAATGGAACGAGAAAACCGCGTCCGTCAGCCAGTAGTTCTTTTGCACATAAATAGGGCGTTGACACCACAGCCTTGCCCAATCCCACTGCCCAACTCAAAGTTCCACTAACATATTGATCTTCATTGGCATAAGGCGTGATATAAATGTCAGATGCACTCAGATACGAAAGGAGCTCATTGTCTTCCAGATATTTGTCGACAAAATGCACATTTTCGGTCAACCTGAATGCGGTGACATTACTTGCAAGTTCACGACGATAAGTCTCACCTTCCTTCAATTTGATCAGTGGATGGGTTTGACCGAGCACTAAGTAGAGAATGTTAGGGACAGATTCAACAGCACTCTGCATCGCTTTCAAGACCAGTTCGATATTCTTATTTCGGTGCAATAAGCCAAATGTGGCCATGATCGGACGATCTGCTTCAAAACCCAATTTGATCTTCGCTTCGTTTAATGTGTGAGCAAAAGGAACATCGGGCACGCCATGAGGAACCACGGAAATTTTCGCCTCATTCACTCCGTAAACATCGGCGAGAAGTCGCCGACCGTGAGTCGAAAGTACGACGATGCGCGTCGATGTGGCAACGATGGCCCGTGTCAAACTCAGATAAAACGGGTTCGGTTCTGATAGGATCCTACAAATGGCTCAGACATGAAGACCCGCTGAGGACTGTCTAGTAACTTACGTGTGCATCGTGACGATTACAGGTTTTCTTATGGCAGCCAAAAGAATCACTATGTATTCACCACTCATGCCACCGTACAGACCGTATTCATGTTCCACATTGATCACATCATATGCTTCTGAGTTGGCCATCTCGGCAATGGCATAGTAATCGTCTCGTTCGTTTTGCTTCAGGCGAAAGACGATATCCTGCGAGTAGTTCCGAGCCGACGGTTCTACTCCATCCTCATCCACGGCCACGACACTGTAAGGACCTTGATAGCTACCCGTTAAGTCTTGCAGGAACTTGGCTAAACCACATTGACGCGATGGATACGATCCGATGAAGAGCACACGCGGTCGAGTTGTACCAATTGATTCTGGTTTGTTTGCTTGTCGAATACCTTTCGATTCAGATGAGTCGATTGTTATCGATTGAAGAATCGTATAATTAGCGGGGACATAGTTTATTGGCTTGTATGGTTTAGCAAATGGATCCGATCCCTCCGAATGCGTCTAAGAACAAAAACATATTGATCATTTTCAAATGACTTTGTTTTCGAGCTACCACTAATTTCACGCAAAAAAAGTATCTTGTCATTTACTGAACGTTAACAGACGCCAGAAGTGAAAATATGGAAACAAACAACAACTTTTTTAAAATTAGAACGCTTTGCAGATGAGACAAAATGGAATCGAAAGAATCAATGAGACGTTGGCTGTATCTGGAACTGCTTCGAGTTTATTTGAAAGATAATTCAAAACTTTCTGATTTGTTACCTCCCTGTGGGTTTTTAAATTCAAACAGTAGAAATTCAAACGTCAAGAATGCTTCGAACGATCTTTTCTTAATTCAAAGACAGGTGTATACTGAATATGTTGAGGTCATTTCGTCGAAGTTTAACAGAATTGTCAGAAGATTTGTGACGGGAATTTGAATGTGATGTGCATAAGGCACAATCATGATAAGTGGGAGGTAGCGCAACTGAAACCGGCAAAAAATGAAACTATTATTCGATAGGTCTTTTTCAGAATGTTGTATTACTGTAACGAGAATCTTTTACTCACCCATGTCGTAGCAAAAACAGGATTGAGCGGTGGGCGGGCAAATCCAAGTCGACATTTATTCGAGCGCACACCTATATATTGATGCGGGAGGACGGAAAATTGAGCGCCTTGGCAACCGCTACCATTCATATCTTGCGTTGTATTTCCGGTGCACAGTCGAATGGTGATCAGATGCATGTAGGGCTTCAGTTTCTTTGCAGTGCCCACTCTCAAGGGACCTGATCGCTGAGTGGCAACCAGTCGAGCGGTGTTCGCGTCTGTGTTTCGGTTGATGATGTCAAATGCGGCAAATTCAATAGTAGCCAGAGCGCACGTTCGATCGACGTAGAATGACACCCTGCTCACATTGCCCTTACTTCCTGCCATTTGTTGGGAGTCGACATAAACCTTAACTGCTGGAGCACCACCTTCTTTCATCGAACGACGTACAAGAATGCGTGTTTGGTTGGTCGCTAAAATAAATTGAAGCCGAGATAGAACTTGTTCGAGACCTTCACTTCATCGGAAACAGAAATTAAATCACTTGGCAGCAATACTGATTTCTTCAGACCTTCGATCAGACACTTCAAACAAACTTACACGAGAATTCTGTATAAAGTGAAAATAGCATGCTACTCAACGTAAAATGTAACCGGTGTGGCAGAATAAATGAGTCTCTGTATTTCTTGAACAACTTCTTTACTTTTCATTCTATCGTCTTGAATTTATTTCCAAAAGATTCGCTATTGAATTCTCTACAAGATCTGTATCCAAAGCTTTTCTGCTGAAAGTTAAGCAAAATTAAAAAGAAGAATACAAACCACGTATACAACAATAAACTTTCAGAGCCATTAATGGCTCTAAAAGTTTACTGTTTCTAAAGTTAGTAATAACAAAATTTAGCATTTTCATCCAGTTCAACAGACAACGAAACGAAAGTAAAAACGCTTTTGAGTGCTTTCAAGTGCGACCTGTCGCGTCACGCAACTCAAAATTAGTTGACATTAAATCAAAGATGACTGGGAGACCTGGCTTTTTAAAATCCTATATTCGTCGCCAGCCGAACTGAAGAAGAAAATTGTAGGTCACGTTTCGCCTCCGCATCTGGTACAGTGGTAATTTTCCTTCAAAATGAAAAAACCCGAACCCGAAAGATACTATTTGCGCCAAGTTATGCCTCTTGTCGCAGAAGTGCCGAAACTCCAGATCGAAAGAAAATCGAAATTCTCGAACTTCTTACTCATACCGTACTACCACATGCACAGCTAACTTAAAAACGACAGCACAGCTAATTTATTGTCATAATCTTTTTGTATTATTGCAGATAAAATTAACTAGTTTGCACTTGTCTTCAACAATGATTATCTAACACTAAGAGTACCACAAATCCAATTTTCATTGAATATAAATTTTCCCCCTACTGCTTATACAACAGCAACCAGCAGCGCTTTGCTATATTTCGAATTTCCCTCACTTGCACGTTTAGCCTATGACACGCATCCGGCTCTTCGATGACATCAACTACAAAGACTTCTGATGACACACTAATGGAATACATGTTTCTAGATCTCTCAGTCAAGACTGGATTATGTCAGATTGTGGTCCAACTGACTCTTACTTAGATAATAGGTGCTATGTCATACTGTGATAAGGAGATCATATGTTTGTTAGACGAATAGTGACTTGTCTCAAATGTCCCTTTAATAGTAGTATGTCGTACAACATATGAAATCGACATCAAAATCAAAAGTTCAAAAAGACTGAATCACCCATTATATTTACTTTTACACCTTCTCTCAAATGAATGTTGCTGGAAAACATGTGCTGAGCTGGTTTTGAAATAGAGCCAAAATACTGAATTTTAAGCTTTTTCTAAGAAAGAATTCTGAAACTTCTGGAAAATATGTATTTTCTCAGCGAACAAAATGATTCAAAGGCTAGCGTCGTACAAAATTTATGTCTGACCGCGACCATACACGAAAATGGAAATTAGAATAACAGACAAAGTAGAAGTTCGTTTCGGCTCAAACTTATAGGTTAGAGATAATGCACTATGGAGCATCTGAAAATTGTCGTAAGCGCATATGACAGATGTAGAGAATAAACTGGAAAAGCTGTCGAATGTACCTTGTGAAATCGACGTTGAGGTAGTAAGATCGCCGGATTGAGCTGTTGACGTTAACATTTTTTCTTAAATTAGAACAATTGTGAAGTGACGTTGAATAAAAAAGATAAGGAGATCATATGTTTGTTAGAAGAATAGCGACTTGTCTCATATGTGCTCATGTGTTGACGGCTTGTCGTTATGGAGAGAAATGGCTGGTGTGGGCGGAAGGGGGTTTTTGAGAAAAATCTCGTTTCATTATGTCAAGAAATATCGAAAATCTTCCAAGAAAACTATCTGAATCCTACAAGAACTGAGAAAAAATAAACCCTTTTAACTCGTAAAAGGCTGTCTAAACATTGTTTAATGCTTGGCAACTAAGTTCATTCATTACATTAATGTTCGCAGATGAAAAACCGAATTTTCAAGGAAATTACGCACTGAGCCTCTTGTGTGGCGATTATCATTACAAGGGATTATTACGTCTGTTCCAAATGCTCACAGTACTTATTTTTAATCTCATTTTCTAAAAGCTTATTAGCTCTACAAAATGTATGCATTCTGCTTGCGTATAAAGCAGTTTTAAAAGCAAAGGCTTCACAAATGTTTCATCAGAGATTTTACGTAGATTTAAAACAAATGAACAATTATGTTTTTAAGACAAAATATTCTGTTTTCATGATTATAAAGTTGGTATGTCTCGTATTTCGTGTATTGACATTGTTTACCTTGAAGAATGAAAAAAATGTGTTTAAAACTATATTACACTCTAAAATTGCTAAAAATCAGGCTTTTTTGTGAGAAAATCATTGAAAAAGTTGGAAAAAGAGGGGAATAGATTACCGAGAGTATGCGCTCTGAAAGTAACAGGAAAAAGAGGATCATCCACAAACTAGCGAAAGGCTTTTAGAAGTCGAATGATAGTGCGTTGAGTTTATTTCGTGTATGTAAAGAGTGATAGAGATTGTTGGAAGTGAACAGAAGAGCATCTACTGTAAAACTTTGGGACGAAAGCGAGCTTGAGTTGGAAATACTCGTCTGAATCAGCGGACTTTNATCAGCCGAAGTTGATGCTGTTTTTGTTCCTGATCGTTTAGTTGGTTTCGGTCCCATAGACGTCTTAGGCTTCGTATGAGGTGAAGATTTTGTTTTTCGTGTCTTCTTGGAGAAAGCTGAAACAGAGAGAAGGTGACTCCTGGTATGTCTTCCGTTTGACAGATTTTACTTGTACTATTTAAAAGAGTTTTCAATTTGTCAATCAACAAGAATTGATTTCGTGTGAAGCCAAGGAAGATAAAGCCGAGAAGTTCCCAGCTCAACTTGTTGATGAGTTGGCCCATGTACGGCGAAATACAAGGTGTTTGAAAAGTCATTACCGGATAAAAATGTTGAATATCTCCGCGATGTTTAATAAACAGCACACATACAACCTCTGAGAGCTACACGGACATCCAGACACAGACAACATCCATGGATGTCTGTGCAGCTGTCTGTGGATGTCTGTGTGCTGTCTGTGAGTGTCTGCAGGTGTCTTCATATTTTACAAGTACCCAAAACTAAACATAATGGGTGATTCAGTTTTTTAAACTTTTTATTTTAGAAAGCTAATTATAAGACTAAAAGACAAAATATTGGCACCTATTCGGAGTAAGCAAAAGGGGAGAAGGACGCTAAGCAAGTTCTGAGAAAGCCCAGTTCTTTTTCTTTTCTCTCTACTTTTTATACAGTGTCTTGTCTTCTCTCATACTTTCTTGCCGCTTCTCCATATATAGTTAATTTCTTTTCAATTTGTAAGAGATCTCACGAGGAAGGGCTGGCTACGTACCACTAATAGATGAAGTGAATGACTTTGATTGTGGCTGATTATTTGTGGTTATCGATGCACTTGATGGTTTTGACGCCAATAATGAAGTGAACGTGAGTGAAAGTGAGTGATCAGATGAAGTTGATGCTGTTTTTGTTCCTGATCGTTTAGTTGGTTTCGGTCCTATAGACGTCTTAGGCTTCGTGCGAGGTGAAGGTTTTGATGTTCGTGTTTTTTTGGAGAAAGCTGAAACAGAGAGAAGGTGACTCCTGGTATGTCTTCCGTTTGACAGATGTTACTTGTACTGGTTCCAGTTCTCCGACGTTCTTTTGTAAATGCTTTAGTTTTCTCAGAAGAGAATGATGTTGGTTGGCGTTCACTCGTCTCACCAGTTGTTCGCATAACTGTTGAGATACGTACAGAGAATACAGATGTCATCTAACTAGTTGTTACACTTGGACTGCTGGCAGCAGGTTGCTTGGTTGTCTGTGTTTCACCGGTAGACGCTTGTGTTCTTGAGGTTGTTTCTGGTGTGACTGACAGTACATTAGAAACACCTCCAGTAGCAGAAGCATCTCCAGGTTTACTCGATGACAGCTGCTGTGGTTGATTAATGACAGTTGATGTTAACGTTATCCGTAGTGTTGTTGAATTATTATTACTACTCCCACTATTACCATCGTTTGACGTTGTCGAACCAAAAAATGTACTAACTAAAAAGGGAAGATACATTTGAAAATAACTTCTTCAGCATTATATTCCATTCTGAGAAAGCCAGAGTTGACATAAGGACACTGTTCTGTATCTATACTTACATGTATCCTCTTTAAGTCGAATGACATTAAATATTTGAGTTGTTACTGTTTGTACTAGGCTCTTTTGACAAATCAGCATAAGGCAATCCGTTGCAAAAAATAGTCGAAAACCAATTGTCACTTCAGCTAATGTTTCTGAATAACTAGCTACTTTGTAAAGAATATAGTAACTATTGAATTCTTCTACTGTCGGCGATGGTGCTTGACGTTTTCCCTAAATATATGGATGGACTCAGTTATGATCCTTCCACCATTTCAACAAAATTTCATCATCAGCACTTTTCGAACTCATAACACAATGATATAGACAGTGTCTTATTGAAAAAATAAAACAAACCTATGAAAACTAAGAACTTCAGACAGGCAATTCTACTGGATTCATTTTGATGAGATAAGATTTTTCTACGCCAAAATAGAGAATAATTCAGCATCTTAACACCTGAAATTTGTTGTAGTTAGTTTGCGCTGTCTGACTGGCTCGTAGAAAGGACCAACTTGTGATTGGTATGAACACTTACCAGTCAATATCCATATAAAGATCACGTAGAGTCTAATCCG